TCCAAAAACTAACTAGCGCTTTCTCGTCACTACATTTACACTTGCAACCAATGCGTGTCTTCAATGTAGTCAAGCCCTTAGACTTTATAAATGCTCAGCATTTAATAAACTAAAGTAAAAGATAAATGGGATTTAGTCAAAATTCATAAATTATGTAAAAATTGCCTGTATGCTCACCCTCTCCCTTGTGCTAGCGAAAAGAGGTACAAAAAACGTCAGAGAGATCATCATACCCTTCTTTACGCTGACAAAAAGTTTAAGGGCCCCCAAATCAGAGAATTCTCATGTCTCTAAGCAAACATCTTCTGGGGCAACAAATTCATAACTAATGTCGCGTCAATCTTATGCTTCTAACATGTATCTTCTAGAATCTCAATTTATGACTACCGCAGCTTTAAGCTTTTAATCTAGAAAGGGAGATCATCTCATGGCACGTTTATTACTATATTCCTGTTCAAATGCAAATTTAATGACTCAACGTTTTCTCAATCGATTACAATTACCTACTAAACAATGCTTTGTAAACATTGGAGCAGTTGACGATGCGAACACTGTCCCAGAAAAATATACAAGAGCTATTTTTTACTCCAATCACAATAACACTAGAAATAAATTGAATTTTTTGATTGTGCCTAAAATTGCAGACAAGGTGCCTAGTAAAACGTTTCCTAGAAAATAATTTAATATCCCTAAAAATCTTAAGTGAGACGATCCTCAATTTCATATGTCTAAGTCCATTGATGTTATATTAACTTCAGGGCCTACTATTTCATCTCTTGCTATAGATCAAATTAAATTGAAAGGCGAGAACTCTCAGATAACTCTTTAAAAGACGTCTTTAGGTTGGGTAGTAGCCGGAGGATCAATGGCGAACGGATTCAACAACATCGTTTCATGTAACGCTGTAAAACTAGATCAACTTTTTAAGAGATTTATGATCGTCAAGGATCTTGACTATCATCCTGTCAAGGTTCACGAGGACAAAGTATGCAAAAATACTATGTCAAGACTACTACTCGAGATCGCTCGGGCCGTTACACTGTTAGATTGCCATTCCAATCCGAGAAATTCGAGCTAGGTTCATCCAAGCGTTAGGCGTTACAACGATTTGAGGCGCTGGAAAGAAAACTCAAGACAAATCCTACCCTCCAAGCAGAGTATGAGAAGGAGATTAACGGATATGTGAAACTTGGCCACATGACACTGTGTGAAAATGACACTGAGGATGGCTACGATGTGCCTCACCATGCGGTGATCAAGGAATCAAGCGAGACAACCAAATGCAAAGTCGTGTTTGATGCGTCAGCAAAGACATCTACAGGCATATTACTAAACGATATTCTGTTAACCGGACCTACTATTCAGGAAACCCTTTTTCAGCAAATCTTACGTTTTCGCGCTCATCCTGTCGTTATCACTGCAGATATAGAGAAAATGTATAGACAGATCTGGGTTCATCCAGACGATAGGAAATTTCAGAAAATCCTGTTGTACCACGAGGGAGAGATTCGAACTTTTATTCTCAACGTCGTTACGTTCGAGGTTAGAAGCGCCCCTTTTTCAGCAATTCGGACCTTACATCAGCTAGTTTCCGATGAGGAGATCAACTTTCCACGAGCTACAATGCTGCTTCGTCATGATTTCTATGTTGATGATTTGCTTACAGGTGCGAGGAAATCCTGGCGATCCACGATGAAATGATTCAGCTCTTGAGTCGTGGAGGATTTCCACTGATTCGAAAGTGGTCATCAAATCATCCGTCTGCTTTGGATAGTATAGACAAGAAAATCTTTAATTTATATCGCGGAATTCAAGGAAGTCCCATTAAGAGAACTTTAGGTATAACTTGGGATTCGCAACGCGAAATTTTCACGTTTCTTGTGAACTCTGATAAGGGGTCATCCGTCTCAACTAAAAGAAAACTCCTATCACAAATAGCGAGAGTTTCCGATCCTTTAGGCTTACTAGGACCTTTTACACTTTACACTAAAACTTTAATTCAGGAATGCTGGGTAGCCAAAATCACCTGGGACGAATCCCTTTCTCAAGACATTCATGCAAAGTGGGTTGCATTAGCTGATCAGTTTCCTTAGCTAAAATATATAGCAATCTCAAGATCCCTGCGATGTGATAATTCTGTTTTCACCGAGATACATGGGTTTTGTGATGCCTCTGTGTATGATTGCGGCGCTTGCCTTTTCATTCGTTCTACCGATTCATTCGGGAATGTTGCTATCAGACTAGCTTGTAGTAAATCTAAGGTCACTTCATTGTGTCATAATACTATTCCTTGATTAGAATTGGCTGGTACCGCGCTCCTTAAAAAATTACATGTGGAATCAAAGAATCAGCTAGTTTTTCCTATTAAACGGGTGATTCTCTGGCCAGATTCTATGATTGTTCTTTGCTGATTAAAAAAAGCACCTCATTTGTTACAAACGTATGAGAGTAATCGAGTAGCCGATATCCAAAAACTAGGAGACAAGGCCAAATGGAGACATGTTCGTTCAAAGGACAATCCAGCTGATTCGTTGTCACGAGGACAATTACCAATTGACTTATTAAATAATTCTCTTTGGACGTCTAGTCCTCATTGGTTGTCCCTCTCTGAAGACAACTGGCCTCAGTCGCTATCTGTCTTCCCAACCAGTCTTACAGGTTTTGAGGAGGGAATCGTTTTAACTACGATTGTATCAGGAAGTTCTATTTACTCTCGATTTTCCGACTACGGCTGTCTTATCAGATCAATCGCATATCTTCTCCGTTCGAAGTGAGGTCAAGTGCTGATCAAGCTAAAGGCCGATCGAGTAAAGGTGTACGTTATTTATCTCCTTGCTAAATCACCAATACTGAACGTCTCATTCTTCTCTTGATTCAACGAGAAACTTTAAGCTTCGAAATCAAGCTCCTCAAATCCACTCAAAAACGAAATTCCAATAACTCAGTTGGTTCAACTAGAAGTCATACCAAGTTTAATGAACTTAATTTTTTTTTTGATAACGATGGCCTGATTAGAGTAGGTGGTCGTTTAAAAAATTCAGATCTTCTTTTCAATCAAAAACACCCAATTTCAAACTATATCTGATCTGATTATATCAAACACCTAATTGAAAATGATTTTGAAGTAATAATAAGGAACTGGGTAATAATTTAAGATAGAAAGTATCAAAATTATATCAATTAAATATTGAAGCAAAAATTATCCAATGTAAAAAAATTTTTACATGAAGTTTTTTTTCCTTTTGTAACATTATATTCAAGAAACAATTCTTTAAAAGAACATTTTTTTAAAGTTAAAGCATTTTCGAGAACGATTGTTAAATTTCAAAGTTACGATCAAATTAATCTTTACTTAAATAAACCACTCCGTTCTGACAGTCAATTATATGTAATACTGTCTGGATGCAAATATCCTAAAAACATTTTTGTTTCATTATGATTATACGACCATAATACTATTGAAAACATTGCTTGAGTAGAAATTTTTGAAAATATAGGCCGTAATCTTGAATTCGTTGGAGAAAATATTTTGATTTAATTTTTTAGCATTATCTTATATAAAACTATCTACTAAAAATTAATTTGCATGTTTCCCTGTACAAAAATTGGTCTAAAATTGTTAAACCAATTTTTTCTTAACTTCACAAATTGTTTATTTTCACTCAGGAAATTTTTTTTTATTATCTGTGGACTACAAACAGGAAGTCTCTTGCAACTTTTTTCTAAAGTCGATACTTTATGTGATATCAATTATTAAGGTTTAAAAAAATGTTTTTTTTATCCATAAAAAACGATATTAAGAAACAACAGTTTTGAAGTTCTCAAAGTTTTTAAATACTCTTCCATTATTCTTGAACATATTTTCAAAGTGTTGTATATCATAATTATATTGTAACTCCTTATTTTTCAACTTTTTTTTGGGCTCCTTTAAATATATCTGTATATTATAAATGAAAGACTTCGACTTTTTTTTACAGATATACTGCTTCATAGCTTCAGAGAGCCAAAAACAGAGTTGAAAAACAAGGAGTTACAATAAAAAAATACTCTAAATGCTTTGGAAATATGTTTAAGGATACTCAAAGAGTATTTGAGAACTTGAGCAACATAAAAATCGTTGATTTTTTATATCGTTTTGCATGAATGAAAGCAGCTATTTTTGCATTTCTTAAAATTATAATAATTAATATTTCAAACACTATTAACTTTAAAGTAAATTTGCAAGCAAATTTTTTTGTTTAAAGCCCAAAGATAGAAAAAAAACTTTTCCGATTAAAAATGAACAATTTGCAAAGTTTGTTTAAAAAAAATTGCTCAAACAATTTTGAACCATTTTTGGGACCTTGCAAAATGCAAACTCGTTTTCCAGAGATAATTTTGTATAAGATAATGCAAAAAAACTGAATGAAAATATTTTCTTTAACAAATTTTCCGTTATGACCAGAACTATGAAGAAGTTGACAAAATTCTTTAATACATAAAAAGAGTGTAACAAATAATGATACTTTTAGTAAGATGAAGAGTAAAGTAGTGAATGTAGGGTCCTTATAAGGTTAGAAAAAAAATTTTTTAACGTACAAAACGGATAACTTAATCAAGATTTTAAGTGTGGAGGGGGAGGTCCATGTGACATGCAGAGGCTGATTCCTAGTTTTTAACTCATATATTATTATTAAAGTTGTTGAAGAGAATTGGTACATACGCAGAGTTACTAAAAATATGTAAGGGTTGTGCACCAAGGGTTATACTACTGATTATAGCACTGATTTTTATAAAATGCGAGAAAGTAGATAAACTGCAAAAAAGCTTTGCTCCTTTGGTAGGTTCTGAAAATCCCATACAATGATTTATCATTAGAATTATAGTCATACATCCTTATTTTAGAATAAAGAAGGCAAATTGCTACAAACAGTGTAAGCTATACATGCCTAAAAATTTACTACTATGTTCTCTTCTCATCTTTACACTGTCAAAATTTTGATACATGAATTCTTATACAGGTACTGTATGGAGAGCTTGCACCGTTATTATTCAATGGATCTTGGGTCAGTAACAAACACATTTGCTATCGTGACTCAGAAGGAGGTATTTCACTTCTTGATATCTCCGATTCAAATAGTACAGCACAAACAATAATGCCTAAGGAAATATTTGTAAGTATTTTATCTTTTTGTACTATCCATACTCTTTATATAGTACGCAACAGTTTCAAGATAAGGAACTTGTTAAATTAAAAATTAATACAGTTGCTCTTTATAAATGTATTTAGAAAAATTTTTGTTAATACTTTGATGTAAGACTCAAAAATTAGAGCTTTTAACTTTTGGCGCAATCACAGAAGGCACATGTACGTCACATGCTCTGCCATCTAAAAATTTTATTTATCTTTCCGTTTGCTTGGTTAACAGAGCCTAAACTATAGCAAAATAAAGGTGGTTCAAGAAAGAAAATTTGCTTTACCACCATACGCTACCATAATTGCTGGAGTAGCACTTCGCAATATTAGCATAAAATGAGCGTACTACATATTATATATATACGCTTTTTGTTAGTTACAAAAACTTAACATACAAAATTTTTTTTTAAAACTATCTTCCGCCTTTCTGTTTTACTACTGTCATTCGAAAATATTTTCTACCAACAAAAGTATAAACATGTATTTGTTGTTGCAACATTAAATCAATCTAAAATTGTACTGATATTATTAGAACAATCAATGTAAACCATAACAGTTAATATGACTTTTACGTTGATGCTGTATTGAAACAAAATATTTTTGTGGGCTCCCTTTTTTTGGTGGGATTGAGCGATGCAACAATGTTTGTGCATAAATCCTAAAATGTACACCTGTCAGTTAGATAACAAATAACAGAACAAAATACTATACATAGAATTTGACACAAAAATAGGAATAATAATGTGTTTCAAAAAAATTCAATTCATTTATGTATTGGTTACAACAAAGCATGCTTACAAAAATGCAGATCTCTGCAAAAATATTTAATTTCGACAAATATTGTGAAACTATTAATGTTAAAACAAGCATAGCTGTCTAGGTTGAAGACAAGTGGTTTTATTTATTAATATTTAGATAAAACTCGTTAATTTTTATTCAGATGTTTGTGTATATGAAACAAAATTTTTCCTTACGATTGCTCAGTCTAGCAACGTCCATATACTGTTAGCAATACCAATTATATGGTGCACAGTTGAAGGTTTTGATTTCTTATAAAACAATCAACTGTGATTAAAAAGAACACCCTAGAATGATAATTCTTTTTTAAGATAATGGTAATATGTTGTATAATAAAATAAAGTAATTTAAAACTCATGAAATAATTTTTTTAAATTCAAAAACTAATGAAATTTATCGAGTTTGTGACAATTTTGCTCAAATCTTAGTAGATTCAGTCCAAACAACCAAATCCTGTTTAGTTTTTTTGACCCATCTATACTCTTAATTAAAAGAAATGTCATGCAGACAGTAGTAGCATATTTTATTCGTCTTTTTATCTAATGTTCTTGTAAAGGTGTTTGTTTTACGGTGTGTGATTATTTTTGCTTGGTATTTAACCGATTTCTCGAAGCTGAAATTATGTTCATATTAATTACAATTTTTAGTTTTAAAATGTTTAAGTTAGAAAAATAAATCTAATCAACAACCAAGTTATATCTTATCTGATAAGTAAGTGAAGTTAGCGAAGCAGGAAATCATCAATTTTTACAAACAATATAAATTATAAGGTTTCAAATTAGCACTAACAGTGTTGTAAAAATTTGCTTTTTTTATTAACTTATCTTACTTCTATGAACATTGGTAAGCCACTGCTTGCGTGCACACAGTAGTAAGATCTAAAAAATTGACCACAACGATAATTCTAATCCTACACAATAGTATTTGTGTCGATGATTATAATTACGCTGCTGCTTTTAACGTTAGAACCCGAGTTAACGATCCTATGTTTCTAGTTTTTCTTTGATTTATTTTTAAAGCAAGTCTAGAGTGACCTGGGCTGCTCTAGCTTTTTTTCTCACACAGCTTAGTCACCAAACTGACGCTTCTAACATGAAGCTTAGTAACTTACAGATCTGATTCTTAAACCTTTATAGTTACCTTAGAGTATTAAAGGAATGTGAAGTGCCAGGAGCTTTTATACTTTTGCATTTTAGGAGGACACGTCAAGTTGGGAGTATGAATAACCGCAATCAGAGCTTGACACACACAGGCATAGTGTTATAATTATGCAGTAATTGATGGTTCAACTTGCTGATCTTTTGGATTTTACATTGGGTACAAGTTGCTATCAAAATTTTGTACGATACTTCTTATAGATAAACGCAGAAAAGAAAAGTAACATTAATTATTATTCTCATTCTTGGATTCAGTAGTGTAAGTTAATATTGTGAAATGAGCACTTTATGAGATTGTTTGGAGATTGCACGCATAGTTCGAGTTGTGTGACGGTAGCTTGTTTCACAAAAAGTAAGTTGTTCGTCATACAAGTCCAGAAGCAGATATACAGTTCGACGTTTGAAGATCGCTAAGCATTCATTTTTTTATAATTTTTGAACGAAACTGTGTGTTCTAAGGTGACAAACATAAGGTTCATGGCATGCAATGTCAAAATATAAAAATATTTTTCATGTAGATTAGGACATTGACAAGAAATTATCGATTTTGAGAAAAAACTAATGCAACCAGAGAAAAAAGTTAAACCCGACAAAATGTAAAATTCTTCATAGATTTATAATACAGAGCCGTAATACCACGTAAAAAAAAAAAACTTTAAACAAGCAATTTTGAAGTTTTCTTGTAAATTTTCGACGAAAGATATCCAGCAAAACTTAATTAATGACAAGTTTAGAGGATATACGCCCAAGTTTTAAAATTATAATAAAGTTTGATTCCTACAATTAAAAAAAAAATGTTATTAAACATTACAAACAAATAAGTTTTAATTAATGCGACTTATTAAATTAAATTAGTCCTGTGTTAATGAAAAATGGTATTAAAGAAAGATTATTTGCCACAAAAACAGAATTAAAAAATTTTGCCATTACAATGTAAGCTTCAAATTTAAGTTTTTTAGAGGAATTATGTAGCAATGAATATAGAACGATAAAAAAATCTTAAACGTGTGGTATTAATATACCAAAAATAATAAACATATTCTTCACAAAATTTAGTTCTTAACTGAAGACCGTAAAAACTGCTACGTAGATTTATAAACAGTGCCTACATACATATTATATAATGCTCATTTTTTTTAATCTTACAATCATACGAAGTACTGTTGTATATGAAAAATTAGTCTTTTTCTTTGTCTTCTAATTATTATTAATACGCCATATGTATTAGGTAGTTTTGAAAAAACTGTTTCTCGTCACCTCCTGCTCAAATTATTTGCAATTTTTAATACTAATTCAATTCACCAAAATTACTTTTTCATAGCCCAGAACATTTTAAAAATGTCAGTCGAAAGTTGTTCATGCAATTTTTTTGGATTGTAAAAAAAGTTTCATAATTTCTTAATGCCATTTGTAACATACCTAGCGTAAAATGATCCTAATTAACTTAAAGGTCATTTTTAGACAACTCTAATGGACTTAGCTACAAGATTTTAAGTCACTACTACCATTACTTTTTATTACCTTAAATTAGACAAGTAGCTTTTTAATGATAAGTTAAGGCAAAGATAATATTTTTTTTATGCAAATATTAATAACAATACGTTATAATATCTAAGTTTTCCACTTGAGGTGTTGTCATCTAGATGGCTTTATATGAATGTGGCCTCTAGTATCATGTAAATTACCTACAAGAAAGTCTAGAGGTAATTTTTCGTCATACTAAGTGGATAAAATCGCTTACGTTTCTGAAATGGTTATCCAACATTTTCAAATTTTGTTACACTGTTACAAGCTGCAACAAAAATTTTTTTTGACGTTCTAAAGGCATTCACTATAATCTTAAATAACGTACACATAAGGTTAATAGTATATTTATTAGACATTTATTTCACAGCGTAAGTCTTTAATTAGCGAGTATTTAAGGACCAGTTAACAGTGGGTGTTTCGGTACCTAAGTATAAAGTTTTTCATCTATAAAATTATATGACAAATAATATAATTTTGAGTATAAAAATACCTTCTGTAAAACAATATGTGACAATTTTGCTCAAATCTTAGTAGATTCAGTCCAAACAACCAAATCCTGTTTAGTTTTTTTGACCCATCTATACTCTTAATTAAAAGAAATGTCATGCAGACAGTAGTAGCATATTTTATTCGTCTTTTTATCTAATGTTCTTGTAAAGGTGTTTGTTTTACGGTGTGTGATTATTTTTGCTTGGTATTTAACCGATTTCTCGAAGCTGAAATTATGTTCATATTAATTACAATTTTTAGTTTTAAAATGTTTAAGTTAGAAAAATAAATCTAATCAACAACCAAGTTATATCTTATCTGATAAGTAAGTGAAGTTAGCGAAGCAGGAAATCATCAATTTTTACAAACAATATAAATTATAAGGTTTCAAATTAGCACTAACAGTGTTGTAAAAATTTGCTTTTTTTATTAACTTATCTTACTTCTATGAACATTGGTAAGCCACTGCTTGCGTGCACACAGTAGTAAGATCTAAAAAATTGACCACAACGATAATTCTAATCCTACACAATAGTATTTGTGTCGATGATTATAATTACGCTGCTGCTTTTAACGTTAGAACCCGAGTTAACGATCCTATGTTTCTAGTTTTTCTTTGATTTATTTTTAAAGCAAGTCTAGAGTGACCTGGGCTGCTCTAGCTTTTTTTCTCACACAGCTTAGTCACCAAACTGACGCTTCTAACATGAAGCTTAGTAACTTACAGATCTGATTCTTAAACCTTTATAGTTACCTTAGAGTATTAAAGGAATGTGAAGTGCCAGGAGCTTTTATACTTTTGCATTTTAGGAGGACACGTCAAGTTGGGAGTATGAATAACCGCAATCAGAGCTTGACACACACAGGNTTTTTTTCTAATTTAAAAAATTTTTGAAAAATATGAAAAGTTGTATAGACAATTATTTATTCATCTTAAAAGTATAAAATTAATGGTAAGTCAATAAATGTTTATTACTACACAATATAGAAGCTGCTCAGCTAATATATACTAATTTCGAAAATTTCGAAACATGTACCTGAAAAGTATATTTAATTAAATAAATTATCTATTTATTTAATTTATAATAAAACTAAATGATTAAATACACAGTGTAACGAGGAAAAGAGATTGGTAAGCAGGTGCGTCGCGAGAATGACCAATACTTATTTCCTGGAACACTTTTATTCAACATACCACATTTATAAGGCAAAGTGTGTGGGTGCGCGTGTGTTCCCGTTCTAGGCTTATTGTATCCTTTCGTAGTAATTGCTCGGCGTCTTGGTTTGGTAACGCTCGAGTCCTTTGATAATGCCTGACCCTTTTGATAGTGCTTGACTGACAAATGCTGAGAGAGCGAATAAATCCCCG